GTACTGATTTTTTGCAATAAATTCTTTGAGTTGCTCTTTCTATTGGTGTCACTCTCTTCATCCTATCTCGTTTACTTTCCTTGTAATGGTCCACACAAATAAGTGAGCTTTCATGTGGACACCCTGTGTTTCATCTCGATTTACCGATTTCTCTGAGTGCTTTTCTATTTTCTCCCGAGGAGGCGCAGGTGAGAAGGTCCTGTTGGCAGCAGGGAGAGTAATAAAAATTACTCACAGAATGGAGGTGTCAAAACGTGAGGAGCAGCGGAGTGTGATCAGGTTACTATGGGCACAGGCGACACATCGGCGAACATTCATAGTGAAATGAGTGCTGCGTATGGAGACAACTGCATGTCTATAAGTAGCATGACAAGTTTGCTGTATGACGCACAAGTGTCGTTGACAACGAGCGGGCGACCGCAATGTTCGTGGCTGTCGAGGCCGTGTTTGGGTGACCAAGCCGCTCGTCGTTGACGACACTTGTGCGTCATACAGCAAACTTGTCATACTACGTATAGACACGACGTTGCGACATCAATTATCTCCATACGCAGTACTCATTTCGAAGTGAATGTTCGCTCGTGTGTCGCCCTGCACCCATAGAAACCTGATCACACTCCGCTGCTCCTCACGTGTTGACACTTTCAGTCTGCGCGCCATGTTTGACTGCCTTCCCTGCTGCCTATACTACCTTCTCATCTACCGGGTGTTGCACATAGGTAGCCCCCCCCTCCACAGCCTAAACTATAAGAGCTAGGAAAAAAGAACTCGTATATCATGAGAAAGAGCATTCATTTCGAATCTAAGCATGTACTTCTCATAATATTTATGTGCTGTGGCTTTGTCTCTGAGAGCTTTTATACGAGCGGGGGTGAGATGAAAAGAGGCGCTTAAAGAGTTTGGAGTCATCTTCCACGTCCTTCAACACCCTGGTGATGTCGCTTTGCTAGGCTTCCCGGGAGAATCCATGCTGCTTGCCCTCCATGTGCATGAGCCTCAACTCGGTCTTTCAGGATAACCTCATGTTCTCAGCCCATTCAGATTAGAAGAGTTTCCTGACCATTCCGCATTTCCAAAAAAAAAAAGGAATCCCTGAGCCCTTCAGCAATTGCCGTGTGATCAAAGATATGAAAAATAGGGCTTAATCAGACAGAAGCTGAACGATTATTCTCTTTCGAAACCCATGAACAGGTAATGAATTCAGCTCTGGCATCCTGAGCTCGAAACGTAATAGCACGGGTGCGATCATTGAATTTAAGTTTTTCACCCTCATATGACATCAGGAAAAAAAAATTATATAGAATAGATTCAACATTGAACAAGGATTCCAAATATGTATATAATTTTTTCCTTGCTTCTATAGTTTAGGCTGTGGAGGTGGGGGGGGGGGGCTATCTATGTGCAACACCCGGTAATTTGATTGACCTTATTTTCCGATTTACCTTCGTATTAGTCCCTACCAACCTCTTGTTTTTAGCATTTTCAATGTTACTGAAATCAAGTACCTCTCGGTCCAGTAGAGGAAAACAACCTCGCGGGCATGGTTTTTATACTCTATCCATCATGGATGAGTCTGTGTAAGAGCGCGTGCCATGTGGAGATTAAGGAAAATTGAGCGTGTCTTCTCGGACCCACTAGCCAGAAGTACTTTGGGTCTCCTTCTGCCTGAGTACCTCCTTAAACATGTCTATCTAGGAATTCCTATACCTTCCCCTATGCTGTAAATGGGAAAAGATCGGGTACTGGATGAAAAATGCAAGGTACTGTTTATTTCAAGGCATCAAGGTAAGAATGCCTGATTACCTCCTTAAACATGTATATTTAGGAATTCCTATACCTTCCCCTATGCTGTAAATGGGAAAAGATCGGGTACTGGATGAAAAAATGCAGGGTACTGTTTATTTCAAGGCATCATGGTAAGAATTGCCGAATTGGCGGTTAGGTGCCATCTCGCGTCGATTCGTAGAACCTATTTTCTGTTGATATGATGTGGATAACTCCACGTAAAAACTATATTGAGAAAACGATTTAAAAAATACTTGCTCCTAATAGCCTCTGAACGACTTCCCTAATTCACGAGTAGTCACCAAATGCTAAAAATACGGTTAATTATGAATAGCTAGCATTTCATCGATGTTGATTTTTTGTCGAATTCTCAACTTCAACCAAGTCTCAACGTTTCAACCTATTCTTGACTCAATGTTGAGATGTTGTTGACGATCTTGATGCACTGTTGATGTACTTAGACCTCAAAGATCACTTTTCCACTTTGTGGCCGCGTATTTCGTAAACTTGTAAAGTACTAAGATTAGTATTTTCAGAATAATATTTAACCTATTGCCTTCATTATTGACCATTATGGAATCCTACAAGGGTGGGATTGATGGTTCAAATAAGTGACATTGCAATGTTGGCTCAACTTCAACCAAGTCTCAACGTTTCAACCTATTCTCAATGTTGATACAATGTTGTTGTGCCGAATGGATTTGGTTGCGCTTCAGATTTATTCTTGAAAAAATTCATGCTCGGTGGCCTCCGAGAGTTATGGAAAATATCAAAATATCGGCATTCTGGTTTAGAGGTTTACGAAATACGCGGCCACAAAGTGGAAAAGTGATCTTTGAGGTCTAAGTACATCAACAGTGCATCAAGATCGTCAACAACATCTCAACATTGAGTCAAGAATGTGCAGACTGGGAATATGATCAGTTTCAATAGAACTAATATTTATTGCTATAAATTTCTGGAAGGGACAACAGTTCAGTTTTTATTGGTTGCAATCACAGGCGACGATTCATAGGGGGGTCGAGGGCTCGAGGGCTCGGGCCCCCCCAAAAGAATTTGGCAGGAGGGGCTTAACTCCCCAAAAATTTTGGAGTAGGGTTTCACCTCTCTTAACAACCAATTTTTTTTTTCTTTTTTTTTTGGACTGACTTGAGGATTTTAGTCCTAAGAAAATATTTCATTTCCATCCGACAGTTCGTAGCGTCGGAGTGGGAGGTACAGGAGGTTCTAGACTCAGTGGAAAAAAAATAAAAGCAAACAAACGGTTTCTCAGAACAATTAGATGATTAATGGATCCTTTGGCTTGACTATCTGACAATGGGGTGGAAGGGAAAGCTATTTGACCCAGGAAGGCTGAAGGGAAATTTGTGGATTCTCTCTCGGGGAAGAGAAGGGATTTCAATATGAAGATTAAATCCAACAGCTCAGTTGCTGGCTTCTTCCTTTCTTCGTCGTCAGTGCAATTTGCTCAGAGAATGTTGAAAATTTCGTCATTGAAAATGAATGACTTCTTCCTCTTCAATAAAAATGTTGGCAAGAGGTACGCCAGGGGAATCCAACAACCCTGAAAATGCGACACGTTTCCAAACAAGTCATGTGGCAGTTTTCTCAGAACTTTCCCTTAACCTAGTTGGCGAATGATGCTAGTAAAAGGATTAGCCATCCCTTTGCTGTCAAGCGCTTCCCCGAAAGTGGGCTTTTCCCGATACATGGATCTGGCGGAATCTCCAATTCTCGAGCCATTCTTCAGTGACGAGTCATGCCGTTGGCGCCATAGGGTGATGGAAAAGTTCGTCGTCAAAAACCCTGGGTAGACCTCACAAGAAATGTTGAATGCGAAGATTCGTCCAATTGCTCCAATGTAGGAGGGGAAAAGTCTGGGAAATTGAGACGCGGCCCTCTGTTTCGTACTCAGTCGAAGGGGACAGAGGAAGGAAGTTCCAACAGAAGTGGTGCTAGTGTTATCCCTGGTTATCATTCGAACGTTCCATGGGGAAGGGGCCAACATTCGAGGAAGGTTTCCTAACGTCCTCAAACAAGAAAAACATTGCATTTATAAGTGTTGGATTCAATAATTGGAAGAGCTTTGAAAAGGTTTTCCGCTCGTGAGAAGACCGAGTGCCACATGCCGAGAGGCATGCCCGAAGTTCCATGCTCTAATTTTCAAGGGTGAACGTTATGGGTTAAATCAGTGTGGCTCATAGGGCCGATCTTCTTCGCGCCAGAAGAACATCAGAAATTATTTTCGTTACTTTGAAGTTACTTGAACGACTAGGACTAGCTATCCGTGGTCATGAAGACAACGAAGGAAACTTTTTTCAGATACTGAAAGTGAGGTCCGATGATTGTGAAAAACTTGAGTGCTTTCACCGAGAACATCGTCGCGACAAATGATTGAGCAAGGATGTACAGAATAGAATGAGATTCTCCAAATAAAGGCTGATGAGGTCCTGTAAAAAGTAATATCTGAGGTTTATCCATCCATATTCTTCGCTATAATGATCGACGAAGAGAAAGATAGCTCTCATTCCGAGCAAGTCAGTATTTGCTTGCGCTAGTGACGCAGGGCGACCTGAATGTGAGCGAGTCTTCCATGGGATTTTATGAAACAGAGTCTGAAATTCTCTTCTCTATAGTGAAGGATGCGTTGCTGAGGTTTCACTGAAAATCACTGATTCAGATGAAGCCCTAATCCCTATGAGAGGGGGGGGGGCTTGGGTTAGAGACAGCAAGGACAAGAGTACGAGTAGTAGTTGCGAAGGAGAACTTAGTTTCTGAGCCCCACCAAATTTCTCAACAAATCGCCGCCTATGGTTGCAATTAAAGGATTATTAATTCCCAATTTTCAAATGTGAAGTTTTGATAAAATTGCTTTAATTTAGCACTGAAATTTCATCTAACCCTTCGAGTGAAAATTACACTGAATTTGGGGTCCTAGAAGCGTCCGTTTTCTCAAAGGTAATCATGGCGTCCGTTCGTACAGATAGTGATCGTGAGTATACGCTAAATCTCTTGATCGCTGTAAATCTGAATCGCGCAAAACTTGAGGTAAATAGGCTCGAAGACCAGGCTTAATTGCCCATTCGAAGGGCTCAGGCAAACGAGAGGAGGGCGATGAGAGTAAAAGTGATGCCATGAAAACCGGCGCATTCTCGGAACCTGACCATGTCCGATTGAATCCCAGGTCGGAGAACTGGACAACGGAGTGCGTTTACTGGGACGAGACCGCGAGCAACTGGTCGACGAATGGATGCGAACGCTTGGAGCTGAACGAGACCTTCACCCGGTGCTCCTGCAATCACCTCACGAATTTTGCCGTTCTCCTCGACATGAGAGGCAGCACCGATTCCTCTTCCTCTGAGGTCAGTCACGATCTACGAACGTGGAAAGGATCTTTTTAAGCGAAATCCCCGCGTGGATCCGTGCCGACCCTTCGGTCGACTGTTGCAGCGAATAACTCCTAAAGTTTCGTGCCGATCAGCCTTCACGTTGACAAAGTCAAGGACGAACGAGGGTCGATCGGTGTCACTGAAATGCCTCTAAAGAATGTTACAGGGCATTTCTGGAGTTACTGATGTAACACCAGACTCAAAGTGAAATCATGTATGATTTTATATCTTAAAGATGGTTTGGTCCAGAAATTCTATTTCAACCGTGCCAAATAGAGCACAGTTACCTGTACCTATGTAGGTCAAAATTTTCTCATTTCTCCCATGAATGAAAAAAGGAAGGTCATTCATGTCATGTTACTGACTTAACACAGTTTAGACAACGGTTTTCGTTCTGCTGCTTCCCTTCCAGTTTGGTCTGATTTGTCTTGATCTGAAGCTTCCATATTTTTAGTAAAGAAGACACAGACCCTCACCATCAGTGATGCACAACCCGCGTCCCGCGGAGACCTTTTTTTGCGGCCCCTTGAATGTTTCCGGTCACTTAAGATCCATATTTAAGTGCGGCCTATTTCAACTCATATTCGAGGGCCCGCGGCCCTCGAACCCCTCGAACATGAACCGAAATCTCAATTTGGCCCTCTAAGGGGAAAAGGTTGTGCACCACTGCTAAATGATAATTTCTAAAGCTCAAAAATGAATTGGCTGGGAGAGCTTTCCAGCGTTACTGACGTAACACATTAGTCAAAAAGCGAGATTCACCATGGGATATCACTTTGTTATACTAATATAAGGAATTCATAACGAGTCAGCGAAAATTAAATCGTCACTCTTTAGTGTCATTTGCAGGCCAAGCCAAGCTTGCTCTCCCAGTCCAGCATGTCCAGCTGACGCAAGGTGCAGGTAGAGGCACATGGTACATGGGAAACGTGTATACTCTGTATTCCGTACAAATTAATTGGAAATAGAACTTGAGCGGGAGGGATTGGGGAGAAGTGACCCAATATGACGACTTGTCCAGACCTTTTTTATCTAGGGCCTTGGCTGGATTTAGAGAGGAAGAAACCTGATTAATTTCGTCCCTGTTGATGCTCTCGGAGACTGGCGTGGCAAGGGGGGGCTTCAGCCCTCTAAGGTCAAAAATGCATCCGCCCCCCCCCTTCCCGGCGAGATGTAAGCCCCCCCCACCGTTCCGCTTAGCCTGGTGAAATCCTGGCTACGCCACTGCTCGGAGAGGAATACGAGGAGGTTGAATTTTGCTACAGGAGGGGATTGAAGAAAGGTAATAGGCGCTACCAAAGCCTATTGATTCGATATCTGAGAGGGGACTCACGGTTCGTTTTCCATCGACTTCTCGGTCCAAGAAGACGACTTTATAGGTTGGCAATGAACAAGCTTTCGTATGACTTGGCCGAGTGCTGAATCGATCGCTTCGACTGCGGGAAATCTGCTACCTTCATCATTTCGTGGCAGATCTTTACAGGTAAAAGAAAGGGAGAAATAATCAATCGGGGGAACCAAATTTCATAGTGTTGGAGTGATCGAATCGGCAAAGCAGTGGCGTAGCTACCGAGTGGTTAGGCGGTGCGACTGCACCGGGGCCCATGGGCCAGGGGGGCCCAGACGCCAAGCTACGAAGAGGGGGGAAGGCAGGGGGGGGGGGGGGGGGGGGACGCCTGCCCCTCCTCCTGGGGGGGGGGGGGGGGGGGGGGGGGGGGGGGGGGGGGGGAAGGACGACTGCCCCTCCTCCGTCCAAGTTCGCAGTCTATTTTTTTATTTAGAAAGCACATAAATTAATGTTTATTACCTCCTGTGAAATGGATATTCAGGATTTTTTACCCCAGACGAAAAATGAATAAGGCGATAGGACGGAGGGTGGTGGTAGATGGAGGGAGGGGGCTGGGAACTAGGAAACAGGCTTTGAAAAACTTCTGTATCCGCCACTGCCTTCCACACTGACTTCAGCTACGGCCAACAATATATATGCTGCCAGAGAAAATTAGCAAAAAAATATGACTCCCACATAATTCAATAGTAAGAAATGGGACAGCGGGCTCCGCTTCATTCCTTGCACCAGGGCCCATCCCAACCACGCTACGCCACTGATCGGCAAAGTCATACAAAGTTCTACAGATTAATGCTCTCTGAACTGCAAATACGTATTTGGACGAATGGGGAAGTCGATGTAAGTGGCAAGTAAGTGATCAAGTCTGCAAGCAGCAGACTTGATCGAAGATGATTGATTATAAAGTGTCCCACAATTAATAGTACCGAACTCGATATCCACTGGCCACCCTTGAAATTTCAGATCGCAAAGAACTAATCTCTGCGCTACCAAATGTGACACTATGGACCAGGGATGAAACGATCGCAGTCGAAGACGATAGCGTCACCAAATAGTGCGAGGTGCATGATTGCATGAGTCCGATACATCCACTTCAGTAGGTGGTGCGCCTCCAGCCGATGTGGGATGCCCTCATGCGTTGGCACCGAGGTCATTGTTCACCTCACGCTACCCGATGATGCCATCATATCATCATTGGTCCATCCTCTGCCGCTGGGCAGGGCCGGCCTTAGGCTTGTGCCAAATGTGCCCCGCACAGGGTGCAATTCCACCAGGGGTGCCAAAACGTGACTGATGAAGTAATCAGGGATACCACCCTCTGTTTTACTTCAGAAAATGGAAATGCCTTCCGTCTCTTTGGAGTGAGGGCGGGATGGCGGGATGGCGGCCTGCGTGTTGGGAATCTCTTTGCAGAGGGCACTAAAATATCTAGGACCGGTCCTGCCACAGGGCAACTCACTTCTTAGTTTCAATGTCGGCCAGCGTATTGATAGTATTTGTATCTATTTATTTGTTTACATTAATTTGATGTATTAATAGCATTTCGGGTTTTCTTCATGTTTCATTATTTTTTCATCATTCATTGTCCTTAATTTTGTTTTAATCTTCAGGAATTAAGAATTGCTGAGTGCAATTACTCATGAAAAACCCTGTACAACGAAATCACCGACCAATAGGATCTTATGCCAGCTGGGTGATGACTTCTTCTGTCGACGTTACTACCCATCCAATGCAAAAATACTAAGATGGCGTTCAATTGGATGAAACGGTGGATTTCAAATTTCTAAAAATTTTTTCACTATGTTTTAATGGAGGGAGTTATGGGTCCGTGATTAATCGACCGCTTGAAGACATTACCAACCCACTATTCATGGAAATACAATTTTTGATCAATTTGCAACCCAAAAAATATTCATGAGAAGGCACTTTTGTTGCATATGAATGTATCTGTCAGAGAGGAAGAGCGAAAAAAAAACATGGTTTTCTGCGCCTGTTCGGGATTCTTCGTTGCCAGCATGCCCAACCTCAAACCATCATACTGTACCTTATAAGTAGGACAGGGATATGCGTTTTTTCTCAAAGTCAGATGTTTCTGTTGTGAAGGGTATGAATTTGAAGGAGAAGAATATCTATGCAAAATTCCGCATTGCATATTTTTGCATATGTTGACTTCATTGCATGGAAATGCATACTTTGAGTCATCGAGATAATTGCACGTTTTCACCCGACGTTGTGTACGTCATTTCTGGCTTTCAAGCTTTCATCCCTCTTTTAAATCGTTGAGGAAAATGTTTTTAACCCTTTCACAGCCGAGGACTTCAATACCCATTCAACCTCTCCTTGCCTAACATGGCAGTGGAGGTTCATCGCTCTGAACACGCCATATAGCGTAAACGGCAGCGAAAGGGTTAAGGAACGGAATGTCCTAGCTGAAATTTCTCCTCTTTCGGCTTCTCACGGGTCGGTCGGCTGGAAATCTGGCAGCACTGCCACGCACGAGGAAGCGAGCGCCTCTTCACCGGGAGCACAAGTCGTCCGTCGTCATTCGCTACTCTATAGAGAAATAAAAGATTTAAACAAAATGAGTGTACTTGGCCCGTTCATGCACTCGTCGCATTACCATCGTCATGCCTTGCATCTGACAGGTTTTGCATTAAAAAAAAATCGATGCTGCATGTTTAGCCGTTCTGATGGATGTTTCTCTTGCATAAAAATGCAAAGTGGCATGGAGATGCAGGGACCCGTGGCGGCGCCGCCTCCCTCGGCGACGAACGCGAGAACGATCGATGGGCTCATTCTATGAAACCTGCAGAACCTCGTACCCCCAAGAATCTACAAAAATAAAGGAGAGTCCAGTCCGATGGCGAGCCTCCGTTTCTTTGTCTCGATATTGACTGGAAGAAATGACCGGGGATACGAAGAGTTAAGGTAAGGTCTCCACAGTTTCCACGGGCGAGAAGGGGCTTGAATCGCGTGAGTCAAACCTCGTAGGTGTTGCATCGATACGGAACGAAATCGTTTCGGGGCACGAGATGCCCGCTGCAGCAGGAACCGACAACGCCACTCATTCTTTCCTTGCCCATCTTAAGCCGGGTGGCTCGACTCGACCGGAAAAGAAATGCGAATCTGCTCGGGGCCGATGTCGATCCGGATCGAGTGTTTACCTTCAATGCGGAACTGGCTCGGCCGGAGGAAAGCCGCTTAACTCTGTCTGCATTAACGAGGCCGATGAAGATGCCCGGGGACGAAGTCAAAGAGAATGCTCGGCAACGAAGCCGAAGAGGATGCCCTGCAATTCCTTTTTCTGCTCCGAAATTACTCTTTTCTACTTCATATTTACAGAATTTATTTCATCACTAATTCATTGCTCGATGGCAATTTTGGAAAGAGTTTCCCTATAGATGTAAGGTTAATCATTTTGAGAATCTTCAATATTAATAATAATAATAAATGATTTTATTGAAATGATTCGGGTCGTCGCCACTCTACCTTGGGAAACAGGAAACACACTAGAACACACAAGGAAAGCCACAAACAGAATCAGAATATTCCAATACTTTAACAGAATAATTTAAAAGAAAATGGTCACTTATCCATTGAGAAAAAGAGTAGGTAATAAAAGGGCAGTGAAGGCAGCTCATCTGAAGATAAACAAGTCTCCCCATAGAGTCGATAAAGCGCAGGATTTTCTTCAGCGTTCGGTTTTCGTCATCGGTAGTCTCTGTCACCCTCTAGTCGCAGCCTTTTTCTCCTTTCTTCTTTCAGAAACCATATCTGTAATGACTGTAATGGATGGTCTTGACTATGGCGTGTTCGTTCCGCGATGTTCCACTCTCTACATTAATCGTCTCGAGGAACATGAAAAGGAACGCTTCACGGTTTCCATTGCATAGACCTGCTGTCATCTTCGGAATCTTTTAAAGAAGGTTTAAGTTTTTTCGAGTAGTTAGCATATTCCATCACAAAAATGTCTATAGTTTGGCTGTTACCGATTGGTTTGATTGATTGATTGATTGGATCCGATCTTAGCTCCCGTGGCAGGGGATTCGGCTTCGAACCCGACCCGTTTATTTGTTTATTTGCACTCTCGTCTCAGGATATGGGACGATTCGGGAGACGGGAAGACCTCCGGCGGTGAAGCCCGAACCCGTATCGTCAAGTACTTGAGTACCTCAAGAGCCAAATCGAATCTCGAAATCAAATCGAAATCTTCCAAACTCACTCGTGTTAGCTGACGTCACAGGGGATGGTGGGTTGGCTGGTGTTCCAGAGTCTCAGTTATGGGCCTATATCCTGGGACCATTACCTTATCTCATTGTATCGTATACGGTGGGAGAGCATAAGATTAAGTCGGAATCAGACAAGCTCTTGTGAAGGCGCCATCACAGATTTCAGGTTTTTGGAGGAGCTTCGCGGCTTGACTCTTATTCATGCATATTCTGCATACTAGGTTCACCTGGACGGAGAAGGAGAGATTTATTAATCCTTCCGTTACTGAGGTCTTCAGTGATAACTTTTTACTGAGGTGGGTACTTGAAGTACCCCAGCCTAATATTGATATAAAATGAATCATTTTTGCAATGGTAATATCAAAATCGTAATTTTAACACACTTAGAAAGAAGCAAAAATCAGCAAATTGATTTTGAAATTTTTAAGGTAGAAATTTTCTGAAAAAGTTTAACATTGGTTAAAGCCGGGACTCCCTCAGTAACGGAAGGATTAAAGTGAACTTCAAGAAACTTTGTAGAATCCAGGGGGGAGACTTTCAAGTTGTTCACTTTTATCTTCCGCTCGCCTAGTTCTCTTAGTTTCTGGCTCTTTGTTGAGAACACTTTTTCGGCACATTTTTCGAAACAGCAGTAAGGAATTATTCTCGCAAACATTGGCAAAAGCTTCGCAATGACACAAGCACATGCGCAAAATTGCAGAAAGAAAACAGAACAGAAAGGGACTACATAATAGCTGTATTTTCTGTCCTCATTCTGTCAATGAGCAATTGTCTCGTTCGGGAACATAGATAATAAAGAATATAAGTATTGGATCTGGAGGAGAGGGGGTGGAAGGAGTGGGTTGTGAGTTGTGGGGTGTAGGATGGGAGGGCGAGCTCCTCAACAATCCCTTCATTTCATTTTCTCAGCTCAAATGAACATGCAGCTTCAATTTCATTAATATTTTTGTAATATTTTTTGCGATTTTTCGCAATTGCCTATTCTTTTGTGCTTTTCAGTTTACCTTTATTGAAAACTGGTTTTTCATGTAGCTTTGTGGTTTTCAATATTTTTCTGTTAGTTCAAGTCAGATATGGTAGGGAGGACCATTGACATTGTGTAGTACACGCATGTACAGGGTAGGCCAAAAGTCACGCCTCATAGGGTTTGCAATCGAATCATGTTTAGTTTCACCTTTATTAAAGCAAATGTTCAAATTGTTTTTATTTCTATTATTTATTTATTATTTATTATTATTACTATTTTATTTCTATTTGCAAAATTTTTAAATTTCTATTATAATTCATTTATAATCTCATGGGGCGTGACTTTTGGCCCACCCTGTATAAAAGAAAACCTCCGTATCTTCCCTCGATTCATTCGATTCATATTGATGTGGTTTCCTTAGGTGAATATCATCCTGCGGACGTTGACGATCCTGGGAAGCTCCATATCGATCGTGTGCCTCGTCCTGAGCGCCATGGTATTCGCGACGGTGCGAGGAATCCAGCCGGAACGCGCGACGGTGCACTTGAACCTGTCCATCTGCCTCTTGTTGTCGCAAGTGATCCTCCTGGCCGGATTGGATCGCACCGAAAACGAAACCGGATGCGGGATCGTCGCTGGGCTCCTCCACTTCTGGCTCCTCGCTTCCTTCGCGTGGATGCTCGTCGAGGGCGTCCAGATCTACCTCCTCCTGTACAAGGTCTCCATCTTATTTTTGTTCCGACTCGTAGAGCGAGTACTGCCGCAGGGTACCTGGGCCCTACGTCCAACCGGTTTCCGACCGAAACAGAATTTGGGGATTTCCCAGCTCGCTCGGAGGAAGCCCGAGTTAATTTTAATTTTGATTTAATTTAATAATGACTTAATTTTGATGATCGAAATTCATAGCATTTTTACGATCCCGCCGAGATGATGAAAGCCTTTCGGTGAGAGTCGTCGCACTTTTACTTTTCCACCAGGTATTCGGAACGGGAAGTAGCAGCGTCCTGCCTTACGCCCTGTTCGCATATGGCGTCCCGATGGGGATCGTGATCGTGACGGCGAGCGTTACTCAAGGCACCGTCTACGGCACAAAGAACTAGTCTGTTCCCTTTCTTTCTCCTCCTTGTTCCTCGCGGATTCCGGTTGATGTGGACATCGTGTCCCGCAGCTGCTGGCTGTCCCTGGATGACGGGGGGATCTGGGCGTTTGCGGGGCCTGCTGCCATCATCCTCCTCGTGAGTTTCAACCATTTTTTTTAAATCCCTCAACGTTTCGTAAAAGTCGTCTTTGAAGTTCCTCTTTATTTTTTTTTTGGCTGAAATTCTTTCTGCGGCTTGCTTTGAATGAAGTCGTCGTGGGAGATTCGATTTGGAATAGCCTATTGGATTCCGGTACGACCAGAAGGGACCATGATTTTATAGGTTTTCTAAGTTAAACGTGGAAAAACGAATGTCAAGTGCGACAAGGAAAGTCAAATGTGTCACTGTGGTGGATGTCAGATTTTAGGGAAAAGCATGTAAGGAAAACATAATGATCGAATCAAACATCTCGTTACATCTGTTACACGCTGCTCCATGTGCAAATTCACCAATGCGTTTGTTTGTGTCATCACTATTGTATTCATCGTACCGTTTCATGCCTGCTCATGAAGAATGAGAGTTATCGACAGCAAGAATAGATGCTAATAACCGTTTCAGTGTCGTCGGGTCGATGGCCGGTTGGTGCCATCGGCCCAATTGACCCGACGGCACTGAAACAGTTACAAGTCCAGCATCCAGCAAGCATGTCTCACTTGATTTTCCTGATGATCTGATGTCCTGATATGCAAGGAGAGGGCACCTCTCGCCTGGCACAACCGGGGAAATGCGTCCCACGACTGCCGCATTTCCCTTTCCTTAGGTCGAAGATGCTTCTTCCTAAAATCCGACATCCACCACATCGACACATTTGCCCTTCCTTGTCGCATTTCACTTTCTTATTACCATATTTGACTTAGAAAACCTATGAGTCATCCCATTTGGGTCATGTGGTCCATCCCCTCCTAGACTTCCCTGAGTTTCCTTCTCTATTCTGGTGAATTTTTTCATAGAGAAAGTTAGGGTTTCGATGGAAGAAACTTTAGGAAACAAACCGAAGGGCCTTGCTGATACCGCTTAAATTTCCAACGAACTAGCCATTCCGTAGATCCCCCCCCCCGGTATTAATGTCAAACGACTGTTGGCTTTTACGAGAAAATCAACGGCTTAACCCTGTCGATTTGCATTGAAAGTAAGAAAATTTACTGGGGCTGACGACAATATTATTGCATTCGTGGGTCCCGCGAATATTTTTGTAACTTCGATACTTTTCGAAGTTTCACTCTACAAAAAGAAACTAACCGGTCAATAGGTGGTTTCTTTCCAACTTGAATGTTGGTACAAAGGGTGGTTAACTTCGAAGGGCTACTCCATCTCCTGAAAATAGAAAAGAAGAGAAGCGAGGAAATACATTAGGTCTGTAGGGCTGTTTCGCGAAAAAAAAGGTGTCAAAGGAGTGCCGCGTTGCTCCTCGGTTCTAGGGGGAAAGTAGACGAGTCAGGAACAAAAAAGGCAAGGGGAGGTTAAAAGAGGAGAGTGAAAGACGTGGAGCTGAAACAAAGGGCTTCTGGCTCTCGGGCCAGAAGCCTTTCGTCAGGCGAGGACAAAATACCCATCCACCCCCTCCGCGGCATTCTCAGTGGCCGCCGCTCTGACTTCTGTAATTCGTAAGGAAATTCTTACGTTATTCTTAGTCCCATAATACCCTATATTACCAAAAGTATCGGGGAAAAGCCCACCTCCGCCGGAAAAATATTCTCCCAGAGGTCTTGTGCTCTCTAGAGGGCATTACGGCAGTCCAATAGTATATAAAGGTTATCTGCAATCTCTTCTAGTCAGTGTTTTCCAGAAGGCGCGTGGGCCGTAACTGAGTTCGAACGTGGAATGGTAGTTGGTTGTCGTATCGTCCTTTGTCCCAATACTTTTTGCAATACAGTATACTTTCTCCCTCTAGGCCTCTGTCTCTGTCGCGCCTAGATCCTCCCCAACTCTTGGGTAATTCATTTGCGAACTAAAGAGTTCGCCTTAGCCAACTTCTAATGAAATTTTCACTCCGATGGCCTCCATATAAAAACGGTTACTTCCACTTTCGCCCCAGTGGAATCTCGCCCCCCCCCATTCCTATTGATAAGAATCATAAGATGTGATTTAATCTTTGACCTACACATGGTTGGGGCGAAAGTGCACAGGAGCAACTTTCCACGCGTGGTTTTCATGATTGACCCAACCCTCAACCCGTAAAAGGGGAAGTAAGATAAATTCCCAGTTTCACTATCCCTCCCTGTGTAAGACGGACACTGATATATGCCCAGAAGAGCTACTTGAACATCTTTGAACTCGTGGCTTGATTTAAAAGGAACAGTCGCGCATGGAATCGCTGTTCAGCGGTGACGCGTCACCGGCACCATCGGCCATCGGCCTATGGCAATGGTGCCGGTGCCGGTGCCCAAAGGACAGGCAAAGGGAAAAAATATTATGTGAGGGTATTGACGCGCCTCGGCACCGGCCCTCCTGTCTCACTGAAAGCCATTCTTGCCAGTCTCTCCCAGGCAAAAATATCAATCGGATCATGTCACAGCCGTATTATACAGTAGGAACCGGGGGAGTAAAGTAGCAAGGGATATCGGATGCAAGGGATGTCGCTAAATGCAACAGTGCTAAATGCAAGCTAACCACGGACAGAAGCATTGATTGACAGACAGGCTGGACAGGACCAAAAGTGATCTCTATCGTTTCAAGGAGGCCTTCGATTTCTTTTACAGGCCACAAATGGTACTGGCACCGGCTGATGGTTGTGAGGAATAGATCGGCCATCGGTCCACTGGCCAAATGTTGCCACTAGTACAGCCCTAATTTTAATTAATTGTGTCCGTTATACCATCATCATATGACTGCTTCGTGAGATAATAATGATTTCTGAATCATTGAGGGACAATTGTTTCCATCTACTCCTAGTCATTTTCAGTGTCCATCTTATTACAGGATGGGAATGTGAAACTGGGAGTTAACCCTACCTCCCCTTTAAAGATTTGAGACACACGTGGTTATCAGTGACGAAATCAACGTTTGGAAAGTCGCCCCTGTGCACTCTCACCCCATTTATCGAGATGAGATTAAAGGGAAAATTTAGCAGCTATCAGTTAAATCCCCGGGGGCGAAAGTGGAAGACATGATAAAACTGTAGCGAACCCTGACCGCGACATAAGGTAGCGTCCTTGTCTACTGTGGCTGTTCCCTTCTTCCCCGTTTTTTGTCCACGTCTAATGAAGGGCTTCTGAACAGAGAGCATGGAGCTCTTTTTAACTCCTTGCCTTTCACTCTTTCCTTTCACCCTTTCCCTTTCCTTTACCACTTATTTTCTTCCTGTTAGGAATTTTGAATGCTGGCCATGCAAAAACGGGTTTGTGACTTTTCGTCGAAAGTCTCATCGATGGCTAATCCTAGTAACAATGTCAGTGACTATCGACGACAAGCATAAATATCGAAGAAGACATCATAAGACACCATAGTTGAAGTGGACGCTTCCTCTACATTTAATGATTCAGATTCATTAGGAAGGAGTTTGAGGAAAAGATGAACTTGAAAGGTAAACTATAGGCTTGAAATAGCCCTGAAAATTTTCCTCAGCTTTCACCAACCAGGTGAGTAGGGTAGAGTTTTATCCCCCTTCATTCATTAGAGTTCAATCAATCTTTATTACAGTGCTCCATGATAGCAAAATCACAAAATCGAAGGAGTACTCATGCACAAACATATTAATTTATTAACTAACAGGTCATAGTCATTACGGTAGAGACGAAATGCTTTAGAAATACTGCAGCGAATTTGCTCCGCGGTGACGCTGTTCAATCACTTCACGTCTCCTTTCGAAAGGATGCCTCAAAAAAGCGATCAATAGCTTTTAGCTTTTAGTTTACACTCATCACTCACACGCGAGGGGAGCAGGTTTGTTACTTTCTGAGGGCAGGTCGGCAGTTCTTCAACCTCTGTGGACAGCTCTTTCAGTATGTCTTCATAAAGAGGGCAATAAAGGAGCAAATGCCACTCCTCTTCATGATGGCTGCGGAGGAGAAAAATAGCGGAATTTCCTTCCCAGAGCAGAGGTCGAGGCCAACAGCCCAGCATCAGCCGACTTATCCATCTGCAGTCCTGGAATTCCTTAAAGAGAACCTTAAGCAGACCATCTCAGGGCTGTGGCGTATTGAATACCATCAAAGAGCGCAAGACTCTTGCCCTATCCTTAGTTTACATATATCTTTGGGTTCTCACTGTATATTGAATCTATTGATATACGGAACAGCTGGGGATCCCGAAGTACCATGCATATTCCATCCCCAACTTGTAGCAGAGATTACGAATACGAAGCAGCCAGTAGTCGATATCAGCATCAACCCACTTCTGTTGGAGACTCAGACATGCAGATATCATCCTTCATGGTGGTAATTAAGACATCCTAAAAGCTCATTATACTTTTCACGAATTGCTCTTCCATCGCGCAACAACCGGAGAACATGACCTGAGCAACACGAGAGACCGACTTGGGAAGATTTTGTCCTAGAAATGCGGAATAAAGTTCTTCTTATATCTCGATCGATGATCTCAGCTCCGTAAAGAGCCGTCGAGAGCACCAACGAGACAAACATGGGGTCAGATTGAAAATAAATATTGGGAAGTTTACTTGCCGTGTGTTTGAGGCGTCCAAGTGCAAAATGACCCTGCGCATTCACACCTGAGAAGTGTTGGCTGTGCCGGAGACGGTGAACTGATCCTCCTCATACGTCCATTTTTCCGTCCGAGAGAAACGGTATCCTCTCTTGAAGACTAGAACTATTGTCTTCATGGAGTTGACCGTGAGATAGTTACGTTTTAGCATATTCGAATCAGGGACGTAGCTAGGAATTACTTTCGGAGGGTGTCTTTGTGACGCTCTTTCAGGCTCATGAGATGACGAAGTGGCTGAGGAAGGTGAGTGGTTGGTAGGAAGGAGAAAAACTTCGAAAACTCTTTCGAAACTTCAATCCAACCCATCTAATAGTTCAAAATAACCCCTTCTCTCCCCAAAAGCTCACTTTTTTGCATGAAAAGAGATGTGGGTCAAGGACTGACTTTGAATTATTCATAATTTAGTGGGTGAAAGCTACTCCTGAATCATGGTTTGCTACTGGAACTGAAAAACTGGTAAAGCAATGGAAGCAAAATGTGTGTGGAGGGGGGGGGGACTGTGTTGGTTTGGAGTGATTGTATTCAGAAGGTGAAATAGGAACGCAAGTAGAAACGTCAGTTATGGGAAATCTTTCAACCCCCCCCCCCCTCTCCCCTATAGTCATTGTTTCATGATATCTTGCTTCATTCCGGAGGGTGTCCAGACACCCAGGACACCCCCCCTGGCTACGTCCCTGCGAAGCTCGAAGCGTCTCTTCAGGAGCGAGTCTGCGAACGCAAAATGCGTGCTCGTCAAACGAACATTTAAGACTTTCTCACACTGAAATAATGGTCTCTAAGTTTTCTCGATGTACATAGTTTAAATAAAACCTCACAAAATCAGAAGTACAGTACCTTTGTAATATAGAGTTTGTTTAAGCTTCCTGAACTGATTGGTAAATACCGCACAGTTTGCCTAGAAGAAAAAGCGGGGGGGGGGGATTGCCCTCTTTGTGGCGGCCACCTGTCAGAACCGGCCAAATTTAGAAAATCTCCCTTGCGGCCATATTACACAGGTTTCACTGTAACACATTTCGAAGGCTTTATGAAGATTTGGAGAAGAGCGTCAAATGATCCCCATAGATGCCAAGATGCCTAAGTCGATTTTCGACGTCATGTTCGCATGCTTTCAAATGCTCTACTACGTCGTTCATTTACGGGGCAAATAATGGAGAAAGGAAGCGATCGTGCCGCACTCCAATGTTGACTCTGTGAGGTTCAGGCATACACTGTTAGCAAAAGTGGTTCAGCTTTTATCCCCTAAAGGGTGTTTCAACTGCAACTCATACTTATCCTTGGCGGGATTTATCCTTTTTGATAGGTTAAATAAAAATAATTTTAAGAGGGTTAAATAATAAACCAACCTGGAATAACATATAACATTCCTAGTATACATGTAATCATGAAGGTGAGAGGGTTTCCTCTTACCCCATTGAGTGACCTAAATGTCAAACCCCGACTTTATCACCCAGTCTTCAGGATAAACAAATTAGGTAATGACTTCAGGGACACTCATTCTCTATAAATTTCCGATGTTCCATGTGGATGCAGTTTACTTGTTTATGTAGGGGCTACTGTTTGTGAAGACAAGCTTCTTTTGGTCTAAGATCCAAGAATCTGTCTTAGATATGGGAATGATACATGAGGAAGTGTCTGCTTTTATTACTCCCTATAATGAGGCAAGGAGAGACAGAATGAGGTGACAACGTACCTGTGAGGGAGATTCCTGGGAAAGAGGGAAGGGCTATTCTATGTACCGTGGGAAATGATGGCTCCATAACTCCATCTAGTGGTCTACACAAATAACCCTTGCAAATGGTGTTTCACTGTCATCTATACCTTTCCTAGTGCTTAACCCAATAAGGTTGAAACATGAACTATGTTCGGTAGCATCCGATTCCTATGAAGAACTATCTCATTGGAGATAAATATACAACCTCAAGAAGGGCATATT